CTTTAAAAGTTTCTCTATAACCAAACGAAATATACACACCAATGAAATCAAACATCTCCTATAGGTAGAGCAATACCCGAAATCTGGGTTAGCCCGCTTGTCCTTAAAAGCTACCACATTTTAATGTACTCACCACCACCACCACAAACACCACCATGACGTTCCTGCAGCAAGTTATCCTCACCCCCCCCCCAAAAAAAAAAATCCATAATACACAAACACTACACGAAACGACACAAATAAATGTACTCACCACCACCACCACCACCACAAATAAAGATGCTCACCACCACCATAAACACCACCATGACGTCCCTGCAGCAAGTCTCCCCCCCTGCCCCCACTACCCTCACGATGTGAACTGCACGCAAAATCAGACCCAGCTGCACGGGGACAGTACGTCTCTGGAGAAACTTATATATTATACAACAACAAAAAATGTAAAAAGAGACGGCGTTTCTCATCGTAACGTGTGTCCGTTTCTTTTTAGTGGATTGTGTCGTGTTTTTGGATTGCGTGTTCTTTTTCTGTGTTTTCTTGCACTGTGTTCTTGGATTGGATCTGCGTGTAGTTCTTGGATTCTGTGTCTTTGGGTTGAGTCCTCTTAGATTGTGTGTTCTAGCTTCGTGATTTTGGGTTGTGTGTGTTTTTGGAGAGTGTATCTTGAACTGTGTCCTCTGGGGTCGTGTGTTTTTGGAGAGTGTATCTTGAATTGTGTCCTCTGGGGTCGTGTGTTTTTGGAGAGTGTATCTTGAATTGTGTTCCTGAGTTGTGTGCGTTCGTGGGTGTTCGTTTAGGATGGAGAAGCCGGGAGGAGAAGAGGAAGAGGAGGGAGAGGAGGGAGAGGAGAGCGTGTCTTCCACCACAACTACCAGCATCACAACCTCTGTGGTGTGTTCTGACGGAGAAACCGTGAGTGGGTGGTTGGCGGGTGCTCTGGTGTGGTTTGCACTTTATTTCCTATCAAACTACTATCGTCTTTATCTCTCTTCTTTCTTTTTTGTGTTTGTTTCTCTCTTGTTACACCTCTAATCTCCTGCACTTATATGACCTGTTTGTGTTGCAAGTGCCGTAAGACTCTTACTAAAACTAAAAGGAGAAACTGTGAATGAGATAGTGTGTGGAGAGGAAGAATGTAGAAAGGGGCAGAGGGGTGGGGGGTGGGGGTGGGATGT